CCTATGAGGGAGAGAACACGGTACTGCTCCTGCAAATCGGTCGCTACTTGATGAAAACGTGGCGAGCGGCGCTCAGTGGAGCTCCTTTGCCGCCCACCGTTCGCTATCTGGGCGAGGTGCAAAAGAATCCGGAGTTTGGCACCTGGACAGGTAGTTGGGAGAACATGGTTAAAGCCATGCAGTATACAGCCGCCAAGTAAGTGGGAAAATCTCTCGCGTTTTAGTTAAATCTTTGTTAACTCATTTTCAATTACAGTAAGACCGGCGTGGCTTTCAAGAGTCTTTCGAACCGCCTTGCTAGGGGCGAGACCGAGGGGAACGCGGCTAATCACACGGGCATTGAGTTGACCCAGGCAGCAGAGGTTATTTTGCTGAAATTTTTTCTACACAATTCCAAAAATCTTATTTCTTTTTTGCCAATTAGCTCCATGGACGTGCCTTCGTTTTTGGTTGTTTCACCGAGGGGGTGACTGGTCCCAAATCTAAGACTCGTTCAGCTGCATTTAATCAAGTCCTGGAGAACCTTTTGGAACTTTACCTAGTCAAGGAGACACTTAACCAAATGAGCTACATCCTGAGGGTGAGCTTGGGCTTATGACTAAGGAACTTAAAAGTTAAATTAATATTTTCCCACTTTATAGTTTATTGAGCTGACCGATACGGATCTATCCCGGCTACAGGATCGTTTGGAAACTGTACTTACCAAACTGCGACCCGATGCTGTGGCCATTGTGGATGGCTTTGACTTTAGTGATCTGCAACTAAACTCCACTTTGGGCTCTTATGATGGCAATGCCTACGAGCGTATCTTCGATGCGGCCCTTAAAAGCCCAGTGAACCAGAAATCAGTACCGAAATCCTTCCATGAGGTTCTGAAACCCTTCATGAAGTCCAACATCTAGTGCCTAGCAAAGCTTTTTGTTAAATTCATAATCCATTATCTAGTGCCCAGCTCAATTTAATGTATATACCCCTTATGTATTGGTGATTTGTGTGGTCATAACCAGTTTTGTTATTATTATTGTAAATAATTCTCTTAAATATTATATTGTCAACATATACCGCTCTTTTACTGATAATAAGCATGAATTTTTACTCTTGGCTAAGTTGCGGCGATCAGCTTTCTCTCTTGCAAAAGCACTTTGTGCACTTTGCCCCTCGAAAGCTTTTCCTTCTGGGCGATCCATCTACTTTCGCTCAGAAGTCGCGTTGAGCTCACAGCTGTTGGTTGGATCTGGTCTTGGATCTTTATTTAGTTATTATTTGTGGTTGTTATTTTCGCGTGTCTAATACAATGTCGCACATTAAGAACTTAATTCCGAACACTGTGAATCCAGATCTGCAGAAGGAACGCACAGGTGCAGAATTCAATGTGGAGGAGTTTTCCGCCTGGTGGCATGGTGGTCAGGATAAGCTAAAGACCAAACGCGAAATGGGTACGTATATTAAAGATAAACATTATTGGCGTCTTATCAGTTTCTGCGATATGGCACCGGATTTGGTCTTTAAAGGTTTTTTTTGCAAAGGAAATCAGGGTCCAATCGGTTAATCTAACGGCCGCAAAGTCCAAAGAAATTTAACACTGTTGTGGTGCGGAATTAAAAGTGTTGCTTTATCAATAGTTAAAGATAATGATAGTAGTCAAGCTATATACGATAAGATGCAATTGCATTGCGGAAAGGTTTCTTATCAGTCAAAGAAGTCCATAAACTATTAAAATTTCCTTCATTTTTATAAACACTATTAAATTTTTTATAACTCTTTTATAGTCATGATCTGAAAATTTAATTTTTCACTGCATTCAGTGTAGGTAAAAAAGTTGTTAAGCTTTTTTAGTTCTTATCTACATATTTTACTCATTAAAAAATATTACACTCAAGCTGATAAGGCAGGGATGATCCACGAAATCGATAAGGATTGTAAATTGAAAACAAAGCCAATTCATAAAAAATAATTTGCAAATGTTTTAAACAAATGCATATACATACAACATTTTTATTTAATTTTAAGAACCGATAATATGTACTCGGGCATTAATAAATTTTAACTTTTACTCAACAGAAGCGGCCATCTTTAGCGATCTGGAGGATGGCTATGGTCTCAACCATGAGTATATGTCTCACGAGGAGGTCTACAACTCGAGTATTAAGAAGGTGGCTGAGGCGGCCACCAAACTGAAGGCTCTGCAGAATAAGCTTAATCCTGGAGGCAAAGATATCTGGCCGTAAGTTGGAATTCAAGACTTTGACACGGGTGGCCCTAATCTTATCTCTTCCTGCTTGCAGCGGAGGGCTCTACAATGCGCAAAGCTTTGGACTGTTCCCGGCTAATCATCCGGTAGCCACACACATCACCATGTTTGTGGATGTGATCAAAGGTCAGGGCACTCCGGAGCAGGTGGAGAAGTGGGGACCGGCTGCACAGAACTGCAACATTATTGGCACGTATGCCCAAACGGAGCTGGCCCATGGAACCAATGTCCGTGGATTGGCCACGCGGGCGGATTTTGATCCCAAGACGGATGAGTTTGTGCTGAATACGCCCAACTTGGAGGCCTACAAGTGGTGGCCCGGCGGCTGTAAGTGGTTACCATCCATCCTAGTTTTCCAATTGATTTCACTGATCTCCTTTCATTAGTGGGACACACTGCCAACCATGCCATGGTGGTGGCCCAGTTGTATATCGCCGATGTCCATCATGGGGTGCAAATGTTCATTGTGCCGGTGCGAGATGCGGAGACCCATTTGCCACTCCCCGGAATTGATATTGGTGAGATTGGCAAGAAATTGGGAATGGCGTCCGTGAACCAGGGTTTCCTGGGTCTGAACAACGTCCGTATTCCGCGCACCAACATGCTGATGAAGTTTGCCAAGGTGGAGAAGGATGGCACCTTCAAGGCCAGTCCAGCCTCGAGGCTTAACTACCTGACCATGGTATACACTCGCTGCCTGATTGTTAACCAGAACTCCACGCTGCTCCTGGCGGCGGCCACTATAGCCACCAGGTACTCGGCAGTGCGACGACAGAGTCCCATTGAACCCAAGTGAGTTTAAGCAACGAAGAGGTTTCTATTGCAAGGGCAAATGCTTAATACGGTTTTTACCCTCAGTCAACCAGAGCCCCAGATCATAGATCATGTGACTCAGCGTCTGAAGCTCTTCCCGGAGATAGCCACCGGAATGGCTTATCACATGGCCGCCGAGTATACGTGGGAGATGTATGCCCAGACGGTGGAGGAGGCCAACAAGGGCAAGTTCGATCGCCTGCCCGAAATGCACATCCTATCCTGCGCCCTGAAGGTTCTCTGCACCACCGATGGATGTGCTGGGATTGAGAAACTTCGTCTGTCCACTGGCGGACATGGCTACCTGACGGCCGCCAATTTGAGCAACATCTATGGCAATGCAGTGGCTGCAATCACCTACGAGGGCGAAAACACAGTGCTGCTGCTGCAAATTGGACGAGCTCTGGTCAAGGCATGGTCATCGTTTGTGGAGAACAAACCTTTGTCCGCTTCCTATGGCTACTTTGCCACCTCCATGCAGCTGAAGGAGTTCCCCAAGTGGGACAACTCCTGGCAGTGCATCATCAAGGCGTTGCAGTACACGGCAGCACAGTGAGTTCATCTACAACACCATCTTCCAAGCAAGGTTATATGTATATTTATCTATAGGAAAACACGCATTGCCTACGAGAACCTGGCGGAACGCATGCTCAGTGGTCAATCGCAGGGTGTGGCTGCTAATAACACGGGAATTGAACTGACTCGTGCTGCTGAGGTAATTATATTCAAATAGTTTCAAAGTGTCACACAAATCTCATCAACTAGAAAGTCAAATATGGATGCACATTAAATCTCTTGAATTAGTATAATACATTTAGTTGAGAGATTTCTGTGACATACCAGTATAATATTTATTCAGCAAACTTTAATAAACGATTGGCTTTATAATATTGCAGCTCCATGGCCGCCAGTTTGTGTGCCAGACATTCCTAGAGCAAATCACAGGACCCAAGGCTCAAAAGCGCTCCTCAGCTCTCAACAAAATTTTGGAGAACGTGCTGGAACTGTTCCTGGTCCAGACTGTGCTGAACAACCTCAATGAGATTTTGAGAGTAGGTTTCGTATTCTTTTCCTATAATCAAATGCTTAGTTAAGTCCTTTTGGCCAACAGTTTATCAACCTCACAGATGCCGATCTGCGATCGCTGCAGAAACGACTGGAGGTTTCGCTGGAGAAGTTCCGACCCAATGCGGTGGCCGTTTGCGATGGCTTCGAGTTCCACGACCGTGTTCTAAACTCTGTTCTCGGTAGCTACGATGGCAATGTGTATCCCAGACTTTTCGATTCGGCCAAGCGCAGCACCATGAACCAAAAACCCGTCCAAAACTCCTTTGAGACCTACCTGAAGCCCCTAATGAAGGCTAAACTGTAAAGCAAATACAGCCAATTCATGTGTATATAAACTTATATTCAAAAAAAGGAAACGACACGTTTTTGTTTAAATTAGTTTTATACCAGTTTTATTTAGCAAATCAAAACCAATTTCTCAGTACATTCAGCGCATTTTAAAAAACTAACAAACTAAACGCTTACAAAGTAGCAAAAAAACTTGATGTAAAATTTGACCAAAACGTACTATGGGTCGAGAGTTGAACAAACATAGTACTTGTACATATCAAAAAAGTTGCGGTTGCGTTTTTTACAGTGTAGAAAAAGTTGTGTTCAGAAAAATGTTCTTTTTAGTTCCTGTTGCTGCTGTTCATGTTTGTTTGCATCGTCGTGTTGTTTGTGTGTGTGAGTGAGTTTTAGTTTGGATTCCGGAAGGGGGGAAAATAGTTTCTGTTCTGTTGATGATGTTCGAAATTTTCCCTTTGTTATATGCTCTGCTGTCGAAGTAGTAGTATGTTTAATTCATTATTTATGCATTATACACAGTTACACACACAATTGATTTATGTTGCTAATTATATACTTATATGTTATATATTAGTTTTCGTTTTTTTGTTTCATAACTTTCTTTTCGCAATGAAAATATGGCATGAGAGTTGGAGAGAGAATATTGGTTGACTAACAATTAAACAAGTATTGCAGCTAATTGGTTGGTTTGTGTACGGGGGTGTGTTCTGGGTTTTGGGTGAGTATAACATTTGTTGCTGGACTGCTTTCGCTTTAATTTAATTGAATTTTCCTTGTAAACTTAACAATTAATTTTCACTATTGCATGGTGTTTATGATCTGTGGCTGTTGTTGTTCTTGTCGTTCGTAATTCGCTTTGTATTTTGCTTGCAAAACTAAACAATTGTCATTGACAGCGAACGTAAAAACTAAATAAATGCACAATAATTAATGCGTTAATCCGATTTTGATTCTTAGCCATGGAAGAAGCAGTTGAGTCAAGCGAAGGAAATCTCGAATAACTCTAAAACCCAAGTGGAAACCTAAATTAATGTACAATTGCTTTCTCATTTCATTTCGTATTCGTATTCGTAATCATGTTCCAATTTCAATTTTAACTTCATTTCAATAAAAAATTCATGGTTTTGTGTTTTCTAGAAAAAAGTAGAAATAGTTATTTTCATTTCAATTCTGTTTGTTTTTAGTTGCCAGGAAGGTTCACAGTGTTCATAAATCTGTTTTTTGCTTCATTTAGTATTTTTTCGATTTTTCGATTTTTGTTTTCATTTTGTTTTGTTTGTTTTAGGAATTACACTAATAATTACATAGTTTTGCTTATGTATAACTTAAAAACATTTATGCATCGATTTCCGTTTGCTATGTGCCGCACAATTTATAGTTATAATTGTTTTCATTGGACTTTGTTTAAAAATTGATTGTTGAAATAAAGAGTGTGTTAAAGTGTGGGTGTGTGGGTGGTTCGACGAGGGGGTCTATCGAGAGTTGAGTGATAATCGTGATGTATCCAATTCGCTTTCGTTATTCAGCTAACATATATAATCCATACATTTATATTCAATATGCACGAAAGTTGCCTTTTACATCTATGTAGTTGGATGCGCGTGTGTGTGTGTATTATTATAGTTATTATTCAATTTGCTCCTGCTCCTTCTGCTTTTGCTCTACATACTCGTAATTCATAATTAATTTGCTTAATTTTGCCCGCCCTTATATTGGTTTCACTATTTATATATATATATATATATAATATATTATTTATATATTAAATTTCGCATGATTTATTTGCAATTATATTTGATATTTTTGTTTCTTTTTGTCGCTTAAAACTTACTTAATTAGAAAAGTCGCATACACACACCCACACACGCAGAGAGAAACGCTTGTCCGTCTGTGTGTGTGTATTTTGCATTAACTTACAGGTAAGTTTTCAATTTTTTTCCATTTTCTTTTTGCCGATTTGTTGTTTATGTGTTGTTTTTTTTTGTATTTTAGTTTTATTTACCCCTCACGAAAAATTGTGTGTGTTTTTTCTGAAAATGTTTCGGAATTTTCAATTGATTTTGTGTTTGTTTTGTAGCTGCTGCTGCGGATGAGTTATTCTTGTTCCAGTGGACTGCCGATGATGGTGCAACCCCACTCCGCACAGTGTATTCAGTTGAGCCTTGCCAAACCCAGTCGCTCCGCCTCCGTCCAGTTTTCCGCACTCCCGTCGTCCGTCCTCACAGCTTGTTCCTGCACTTGTGGTCAACTTAATACCTGCGCGCCGTGCCATTATCTCAGGCGTAGAACTCGCGATTATTCGCGTTTTTCGCATACGAATTGTTGGCCGGCGACCGCTTGGGCTCGTCCAGCGCATAGGATCCCTCGTCCTTTTTCCTCATGCGGTACACGATGAACATCACCACGAGTATGGCGCAGAGCAGGCCGACGACGGCACCGCCAATAACAGCTGCGGGAAAGAGAAATGGTTTAGTGATCTATGTCCATCATATAACAAGGATAATCAGGTATTATCTACAAGGTATTGAGTTCTAGGTTTAACTTTAAGACTTTGACATTATCCTCTTCTACTTGGATTTTTATCTGTACAAAATAATAACTTAAATCCAATTATTTTTTCTTCAGAAATGCCTCGGAAACATATTCACTCATGCGCTTGTTGACAAAAAAAATTATTTTTATTTTTAGAAATAATTAAAAAATGTAATTATTTTCAATTAATAAACATAAAACACTTATGACATCAAAAACGTGATTAGTTTACATGGCGTATAAGTGATATTTCCAGTAACAAATAAGTTCAGGTTGGGTTGTTAAACCCTCTTTGAGGTTTGATTCCACTAGTTCACAGCCAGAAAAGTTCCACTTTGGAACTGTCTTTTCTAGACAAATTTAGAAGATACATCTATTTATTTTCAGATTTGGCCAATTGCCAAAGAGTTGCATTTCGAGATATTAGCTCTTAATACAATAACATCAATAAAATATGTTTATCGTGAACACCATAAAAACAATTCTTAGGAAACTTTTTTGAGTGATACCACCAAGCCAATATTAAATCCTAACTCAAAAAAATTTATTTTTGTAGACTAATGTTACTTGTCATACCTTGGCTTAAAAGCATGCAACACCTAATTTGTTTAGAAAAGCCAACCCAACAGAATTCTACCTCTGCCACTGATTTAATTAATTACATTTTGTAGAATCCAAGTTTATATAAAAATATAATTAAAATACATAATTAATAATTTATAATAACTTGTCTTATAGCTTTTAAGATGTTACTATTCAACTAATTTTAAATATTATCCAACATACATGGCGTATGAGTGATATTTGGTTACGTTTTCCACTATCAACTTAATATGTCAGTACTTCAAATACAATTGAAGTTGCTATAAGTTCTTAAAGTCTACAGATCTACCATCCTATAGATATACTCACCAGCCAGAATTCCGGGCTGCGAGAAGAAGCTCGACGTGCGATCGTCCTCGCTCATGATGACCACCTCGTTGCCGTTGGGCCTGTGATCGATGCCCTTCGTGTCGGAGGGCTGGCTGTTCACGTTCGTATTGGGGTCCAATTCGTGCACGTTGCTACCGCCTGCGCCCGCTGTTCCAGAAGAAAGAGAAGGCATTATGGCGATGAGAAAGAGATGCAGTGTGGTACAGTCCATTTATGCCCATGACGTGCAAGCAAAATCAAACAAAACAGAGAGTGAGACAGAGAGTTGTTGTTTTGATTTGTCTCGTTTCGTGTTGTGGTGTGTTGTGGGTATTCAATTAAATTGATTCGAGTGTCATAATTGGTTTAAGTGAGCGTATACGATTGTGTAAACATGTGTGTGTGTATGTTGTGCGTGTGTTAATGAGCTGTTATGCAGTATTTACAAGGCTTAATGTTAGTCGAGCAGCGTTTACTACATAGGGGAGACTTACTTTAAATGCTAGTTCTTAAGTGGTATGTTTCCAAGAAACTAATCTCTCTAAGATGAGTGACAATAGGTATTAGTTTACTTTCAGCCATGAAATATATCAAATAGGTAGAGGTTACTAAAAATAAGATTTCAACTAGTACAGCCGCTTAGATTTCTTTAAAGTTGAATAAGAATATAGAACCCACCGCGTAGGAGAAAACGTTCTTAGCATCCTTCCAAAAAATATACAAAACTTGACAGCTAATTTCACGCTAATGAACAGAGATTTCCCGAAAAGTTTTGTACGAAATGAAAAAAGTTTCTTAGCTACGAATGCAAATTGTGAAAAATCCCTCTTGAAAATTTCAAGGGTTGACTTGAGCTAAAGCTCTGGCTTTGCCTTAAAACAAGTGCAATTATATTGCTTCCTTGAAATTGACAGAGGAGCGAAAATGTAATGCCAATCGACTGTCAAACAAAGCGAGTTTACATTTTATTTAATTGGCCTAGCCCCCGTTTATCTCCCCTCCAAAATTCCGGCATATTTTAGCAGAGCTATTGTTTGATCCCCATGCCACCCCTATTAGGCTCCCCAAACCGCTCAAGACAAACATATTGCTTGTTTAGCCCTTCTTTGTAGCTCAAACACACACATGGCGGCTCCCTTGAGGGGCAGCATATTAATTAGGTAATGCCCACGAGAGCTCCTTGAATTGGCCCTCGCGAATAAGGCCCTCAAATTGATTTTATATGCGCTTTGCAAACTGAAGGAATTCGTGCCGAGCGATAGAAATAGATGGTGAGTTCTTTGAGTCGAACTGAAGCTATAAATATTTGCTTTTCAATGCGATTTCCAAGAGTAAATGGATTTTCCAACTACTGGCTTTGAGATTGCTTCGATGTCTTGCCAATCCATTGATTGTCTGCTTGTCCTGCCAAGACTTTGTTCTGTTTGTTCTGAACCAATAAAGGTACCTGCATCATGTGTGTGTGCCTGGATTTGATGGGAAAATGCACTTTGTTGCTGAATCTGGAGTCTGGGGAATGGAGGATGAGGTTTTTGGATTTCGGCGCGTTGGGTTTGATTTCGTGCTTCGATGTTCAGCTGTGGTCAGCTGTGCGCAATTATGGCGAAATTATTGCCCAGCTCTGTTTGTCACCCGCGCCAACCAACCATATTGATTGTGTTTGTGCTCTCGGTTGAGGCGTGGCAATTGCAAGGCAAACATCAAAGCCATAAACCCACAGAACCCACAACCCCGATTGCCATTAGGCTGTGTTTCAGTTTCTGACGGTGCACTGCTCGTTTTGTTGGGACCATAAACAGGGATTGTGAGAGATGTACATAGGTACACGGAAATAAATCTTGAAACGTGGGGGGGGAATTTAAGAAATATTAACTGGGATGTCAAAGAAATTTCTAGAGCTTTAAACTCACTTATACAGATGGCTTGAGCTGAGCTATTTTTTCATGGCTTTCTTTTATGTTTGAGCGATATCGATTTTATCAAGCGATATATTACGTTTCCGAAATCGTTAAATTTTGTACTTTTTGATTTCTAAAATCACCTCGTAAAAAATCAATATAAAGTTAAGGTCAGTTCGTGACCGACATGTTTTCTCTGTTTAGGTGAAGATTGGAATTGTGTGCATCAAGAGCATGGAAAAAACCTTTTTAATTTTCTTAATCCTTGATCCTGAATTCGATAACTTTTAAACTGCTAAATAAATCCCTAAAACTGTTAAATCCCTTCTTAAAGTGGCTAGAAGTATGCTGTGGAAAATATCTTTGACTTTCGAATTAAAAATATTTTGTTGCATACTTTTAGACACCTTTTTTGTTGGTGAAATCAAACCCCTAGTGGGGTTCCTTTAGCACACCCTCGCGCTTTTTCTCCAAGTGAACCCACTCACGAAGCCATTTCAGGAGCATCAGGAACGATGGCTTAAGTAAGCGGCTACAGTTACGCGCAGGAGGCAGAAACTGGAGCCTTGCCATTGCCAGGACTCAGTGATTTTTCATTTGAAGTGCCTGGGAAGCACACCAAGTGTTTTTCCCCCCAGCAAGAAAGCACAAAATCACTGCGCGGCTTAGTGCGATTTTCCCGGCGATTTTCATTCACAAAATCGCAGGAGGCAGAGCCATCGGGACAGTGTTAATGGAACTTTATGCCTAGGGCAAGAATTGCAGAATGTCTACTACTCACTGCGCCCACGCCACGCCACGCCCACTCCGTGATGGAGTGCTTTCCCTGTTGCAGCTTAATCGATTGTTTGGCTTTGGTTTTGTCTTTGGCCTTTGTTTGTTCTCCGTTTGTCACGATAAAAGCTTTTAAACTATCCTTAAAGTATTCGCCTTAATCTAGCTTAAGGTTAAAACTAAACACTTAAACGATGAGGGTCGGGTGAGTTTGTGTTGGCTCTGCGGGAGTTTTTCCAATTGAATGAACGACAAAAACAGAGCGAACGGAAATGATTCAATGAATTTTTGTTATGAATGTGTTGGAATTATGTGGTAAATTGGTCACTCCTTGTGGACAAAAAAACAAGGATGTGGGACAGACTGAGACTGATAGAGGATTTGCAGAACACCCGCAGCGTAGACCGTAGACTTTTCAGAGCGCGACAAATAAACTAAATCATACTTGAACACACACACCAAATGTGAAACTTAATTTGACTAACAAATACTTGAAATTTAAAGTACTTAAAGTGAACACAGACAGGCTACTCAAAAAAAGCAAAGCAAGTATACGTAAATGAGGAACCAAACTACTTAAAATAAACACAGCCCGCAAACATACACAGAAAAAATATAAATGCAAACCACTTTTAAATTCCGATATAAAGTTTAAAAATGGTTTATCTTATAACAAAATTTTCTTTTTGCTGTCTATAAATATAAATTATCAATACTGTAATAAAAAACGTAAACCGAAAAGCAGAGTGTCCCAAGCAAAGCGAATAAATTACTTAGCTAGAATACAATAAAAGTTAAAAAACATATTTTTTACAGAGCAGTGCAAGGACCAAAAGGACAACAAAATGATGTGCAGTAAAAATAAGAAAGGGAATTAAACAAGGATGGTGAAGGTATAACAAAACACAAAACTAGATAAACAAATATAAACCAAATAGTGTAGTGAAAAGTAATAAAGTAAAATGGTGAAAATAAAAACCACTGACGTCCGCGCTCTGTAATATCTCCATCGTTGCCACCGATTCTCGGACCACCGACATCGCTATCCACAACTTCATCCTCATCGGCGCCATCCACATCGATTTCATCTGTGGTGAAAATTCTATCGTCACCATCAGTGTGTTGTGGAATGCTCGGTTGCTGAGGAACAGATCCGGGACCATCGATATCAATTTCTTTGTCCAACTCCTTGTTATAGTCATAGTCGTCTTTATCATCCACATCGTCATCCTCGTTGTCATCGATATCTGAATCGTTTCCATCGCCACTGGCCTCCGAATCGAGATCCTTATCGAAAGGTGGGAATATGGGCTGATTGGGTAGTGTGGATGTGGGGATCGTCGGTGCTGTTGTTGTGGTCGTTGTGGTATTGGCATTAACAGAGGGTTGTTGGGTTGTAGAGGTTGTTGATGGCGTTGTTGTGGCTGCCGTTGTGGTGGAGGTGGTTGTTGTAGGCGTTGGTGTCGAACTCGATGTTGTTGAGATTGTGGATGAGGGTAGTGTTGGTGTATGAGCTGCTGGATATAGAGATGCGATTGTTTTTGTTGGTGTTGTTGTTGTTGTGTATGATTTTGGAAGGTGATGGTCGATAATACTTATATTACTACTAACTAAACTCGATCGATCCTTATCTAATACTCTATCTATAACTGATGCTGTAACTGTAACTATGACTGTTACTGTATCTGTTTCTGTTGTTGGAATAGGTTGTGGTGTGTTTGTTGTTGAAATTGAAGGAGAAGAAGTTGTGGTTGTGGCGGGTGTGAAAAATACACCAACGAGTGTTGCATTTACATGACTAGCTTGATCTTTACCGATTGAGTTAATGCCAGTGCTATGGCCACCGATCTCACTACCACTGCCACTGATGATGCCGTTCTGGCTGTTGATGTTGATATTGTGGTTATTATTATTGTTCGCTGTGGTGCTACTACCAATGATTGTGCCACTATTCGTTTGATGGTTATTATTGGGATTGAGATTGATATTCTGGCTGTTGTCGATCTGATTGTGATTATTATTGTTGAATCTACTCGAGATGAGGTCGCTGTTGCTGTTCTTGCCGTAGTTCTCGTTCGAGTTATGCTTACTGTTTATGCCGGCGTTGCCGTTCTGCGAGATGCGCGTGTTGTGCGAACTGTGCGAATGCTGGTCGGGTTCGGCGTCCTCGTCATCGGGTCCAAAACCGGAGCCAGAATAGTCTGGTTCTTTCTCTAGATCTTCGTGTATCTGCAATGGGAAAGGGCGGAGAAATAGAGATTAGTTGGGATCTTAAAGGATTTGGAAATGGTTCTTTAAGGCAAAGCAGGGAATGCCTATAAAAGTTAGAAATACCGGTGTGCCACAAAAATCACTACGGTTTTGAAAACACTTGTAAATGTGAGGTATCTTAAAGTATGCAACAATATAGTTCAATGAATTCCTTTAGAAATACATTTATACTTAACCATTGCAATCTTTCAGAAACCTAAAATGATATTTCAAAGCAAATTCAAAACCCTGAAGATTTGAGTGGTACCCCCATAATAAGGTAATACAATTGTTACCCTGAGAAGCGTTTTTTCATCTTTATAGGAAGTTAAAATGTATATCATAAATGGATGTCCCTAAAATATGAAAGTATTTTACTTAAGCTAAGGGATAAAGAGCAAAAGGTTAGATGGATTGTGTATAAATGGTTTCCAATTAGCACTGGACTTGTATTTTTAAATAAAGAAAATCTAGAGACCAGAAATTTGCCGAAGCATTTTCCCAAGTGTCGCTTGATGCGAATAAAGGACATTTCCCATAACAAAGCCTCAGCTTTGTGCGCAACAAATGGCAGCAATTTTCCATAGAAAATTATGCACGGCCCCCGTGTGTCCTTGAGCTGTTCCATATTCACGTTTGAGATGCTAAGAGGGATCGAGACCCTTAGGTCATGTCCTCCGGCCTTCGGGGAGCCCATTTCGTGGGGCCCATTGTCTGACTGGGGCTTCGACTGTGACTGTGACGGGTTTTTGCGGTTTACTCGCACCAAAACAAGTACCCAAACCTAACACAGAGGGGGGGTTTGGGCAAAAAAAACACACAGAGCACCACAACAACTGTGACCAGAACCAATTGGCCCAAAGACCATAGACCAGAGACAGCCGTGGGCCAACTGAATGACAGAGACAATTCCCGGCCGCAGACGCCAGCTCTTGTTTATTGACTTTAATTTCGTTTGTCGCTTGTTCGGGCCATAAAAACACTGGCCAAAACAGTGGCATCGAAGGAGGCAGTGGCAGCAAACTTAATTGAATTTCTTCACGCGTTATGAAATGCCCTATAAAAGACTTGGCAGTTGGCCAGCCATTCACCCAGCTAGCTAGCCAGTGACACTTGTTGACCCCCGACCCCATAATTTTAGCCCACATGTATTATATAGACAAGGCCGACAACGACCGTGAGTAATGGGGAATGAGCTCAAATTGAGTGATTGTGGCTGCCAGCAGAAGCAATTAATTTTCCAATGAAAGAGAATTGAAATTTGTTTTTATTTGAGCTCAAATTAAATTTTGCCAGCACAGCTTGGAGCATTTGTTTCCATTTGTTTCATTGAGTCGAGGATTTACAAACAAATTGTGTCCCTGTTCAGCGGCATTCATAACGGAAAATTGAAAGCACACAAGCCTGGGGGCTGCCTTTTCGGCAAATACGGAAATTTAAAAACAAACGTGAAATCAGAATGATATGGGAGTGAGGACTATAGGGATACCCCTTGGTACCGCTCTCTACAAATTCATGTTCGAGGCTTCAGAAAATTTGTAAATCAATCCTCATTTAAAAGTTGATTTTCTGAGATATCATGTTCTAAACTTTTTGATTGCTTTCTTTTTTACTTTATCTCTATCTATATCTAAATAATTATAATTATATAAAAAAGGCAGAAAATGTAAGTAATTCTGATTTCAGTGGTAGGCACCGGATACAATTTGAATGCAAATGGGATGGTAATAAATAGAATTGTTTGTGGCATCCTATCCTATCCACAAATATACTCAAGCTGTCGAAAAAATAAGGAAAGCAAGGCACACAGACATTATCCCTGCAAATACATTTCAATTTTCGCAACTGTTTTTGTTGTTTCATGCATATTCGTTTCGTTTGAAATTTAATTAAAATATTTGTGCATTGCGTATACGCAGTGTTGCGCACTCAAACTGAAACTGAAACGAAACCCACACCGCAGCATATATATCATCCTGTGCAGGACAGTTGGCAAGCAAACGCTTGACCAAAAGCACTCATAAATATTCCTCCAGCGAAAGAAGGACGTTATTGTGGGTGGTTGCAGGAGATTTGGAGGATGGTTGGATAGGAGTGCAGCCCAAGTGGCCATAAAGCATGCGGAAAAACAGAAAAAAAATAAACGGGGTAAAAAGTGTTTGTCCCGGCGCTTGCAACACTTTCTCGTTCTGGCCCGAGTTTATTTAAAGCGTTTTGTGAGCTGCTCTCCTCGCTTTTCTGCCGGCCTCGCTGTTTTGCCGCTTGATTTATGCTGCAATTAGCAGTCAGCAAAATGGGGCAAGGCAGTAAGTAGAAAGTGGCGAGTGGCGAGTGGCTGGTGGCAGCCTCTCACATCACTTAGCACGGACTCGGGGCCACCATGTTTTGGGTCTTAAATGAAGTCCTTCCTTCCACAACTTGCAGTTTCGTTGTTCACAAGTTATAAGGCAACATTTAAACGATTAAGGGCGAAAACTTTTCAACCAAGTAGACAGGATCGATTGGAACTGCGGCTACAACTGTGGCCAACCGAAACGACCCAGAGTGCAATGTGAATTTATGCAATAAATTGCTTTGTTAATAAAACAAGAAGCGAAAGGTGGGTGGTGGGTGGTTAATGGTGGTGCAAAAGCCAGAAAGCAGATGCTGCACCATCCTGAGGTGCAATGTGGGTCATGCAGGAATTTAAATGATGTCATTTCATCGGGACCCTGGAACTCGGGACCCGGGACCACCTGCTGCCATCCAGGCTCCGAAAATGGGAATGGTATATGCTTTTCCACTGCATGCCACATTAAATTTGCATTTGCTGGCAGCTGATGCCTCTGCTGCTGCTGCTGCAGCTTCTTTGGCTCTTTGGCTGGCCAACATGGCGTATGCTTGACACCATTTTGATATATGACAGCGAAAATGAAATATTCCAGCAAGCTGGGCCAGAGCATTTCCATAAAACGGAAATTGTTTCAATAAAGCGTTTAAAAACTTCTTCAAAGGGGGGAGGGGTCGGGGGCGATGGCAAAAAACTTGGCTAGCAAAATGAGAAAATAAGACAAGGAGCCGAGAGCAACCTTCGTAATGAGCGAAAATTGTGTCAGTCAAACTATAAGAAAATGGGAGGAAAAACTATTGTAGAGACGAGCGGAAAACAGAGAAGTGAAGTTAAGAATGGTTGCAAGGCACGTTTCATGCATAAACAACAGCTCGAGTGCAGCTGTTTTTTCCATTCATTTTTTTTGACTTTTACAAATATCAAAGAAGTTGTCATGGCTCTGAGTAAAAAAAGTTTTTCCACCCACATTCTCGTTCCCATTCAGCATAATTAATGCCTGAAATTTCATCTCAAAAGCTTTAAGAGCTCAAGAGCTCAATCCACCCACACATGTGCCATCACCATCCATCCTTTATAAACCAAACAAATCCCATCTAAATCCTGTACGATTTTATTTTGTAAATGAATTTTCAAACTAAACACAAGGAGCTTTCAATTCGCCCAGTAACATCAGAGAAGCTGTTTTGGCCAACTTTTTGTTAGGGCAAAAAGTTCCGGCTAACGAGTAAATTGTCGATTTGACAATGTTCGAAAAGTGCGTGACTTGAGTTGACCGAGTTGCCAGAAACATTTGGAAAAATCCTTGGTCAGGGCAAGTTGGTGTTTTCCACTTTGACCCACTTTCTTCCCCCTTTCTCCATCCCCTCCCCTAGATTTTACGTAACCACTTTGACCCTGTGTGTTCTCAGCAAATTTCGCATTGTGAATGCTACATTTTTCGGGAGGCCAAGTGGCCTGCTAAACATTTGCATGGGTATTTCTGCAGGAAATGGCCAAAGTTTGTCTGGCCAGGGAAATGAAATGGGAAAAGTGGCAAGGGAAACCAACCGCAATCCCTGGAAAATTGATAGTCCTAGCCAATTCCTGGCTACGTTCTCGGCTTTGTTTTCCCAGCATTGGCATTGCTCAATAATTGCTCCGAGTGGGATCTCTGGGGGGAGTCCTAATTTATTTACATGCACTTGCAACTTGGCCTACGGGGAGCTAAGTTACAAAAAAAAAGAAGGGGGAGAAAAGCCGACTCAGCTCAACTCCGGGGAAACTCAATTTTCCAGCTGGAAGATAACTTACGGCTTTATTTAGACAACGAAATTGAAAATTCGTTTCGTTACTCTTTTGTTTTCCTCCTTCCACTTGTTCACTTGGTCCCTTTCCGACCGGCTAGAACTTTTCCAAATGTATATATATGTAGAGATAGACAAGTTCTGAGCTGCTTGGTATTTTATTTTCCATTTTCCTATCTACTTGCTTATTATTTTGCAATTGCCCATTTACATTTAGATGGGAGCAAAAGCTTATAATCTAATGAACAGACGAAAATAGTTTTGTAAACTACTCGAGAACTAGTTAGAACCCACACTTCCCTTTTTGAATATTCAATGCGGGCTAAAAATAATCATTTTGGGTCTTTCATTACAGGATTATTATATACAAGACACTGAAAATATTAGAAACCTTTTAAAATTGCTTGAAATTCAATGCTGAACTTATTTTTTATTTCATTGAACTTTAAAAAACATAGCTTAATTGATAGTTAACCCCAAAAACATGACATTTTCCCTTCGTTTTTAAGAAAACATAACTTAATTGAAAGTTAACCCTAAAAACATGACATTTTCCCTTCTTCATTTATATTTTCAGTTGTTCTCCTTTGTTGCTTTTCCCTTGATAAGCTTTTCATTGCAAATAATTGCTTTTTAAATGCAACAAATGAGCAACAGAGAATTTTCCTCATTTCTTGCCCTTCTTTTTGTATGTGCTGCAAATTGAAAAAGTTTTTTTTTGGCAAAATAGCTCGATGTTTTTGCCTTTGAATGCCTCTCAAGAGTTTTCACAACTTTCACTCGCAAACAAACGCAACGCACACACACACACACAGATGTAACAAAGAAAATTGTGTCGTGGCCTTGCTGTTAGCAACAATTGTTGT